TTTGACCATAACTTAATTTTAACTTACAGTTATAAAGATGCGTTAGCTAGCATACTAAGCCAATCACCATAGAGAAGCTCAAAATCATCAATTAAACTTTTCAAATTTGTCACATAAACGTTAATTTGAAAATTTTATTTTCTGGATTTCCCATATTGCCCTTGAAAGAACTGTGTAGAATGAGGAAGGAAACAAGTTTCTAATTTTATCCTGGGATTTGAATTGTTGTATCATGAATGCACTTGCAGTTTCAAACCTTCATGAAAGGTGCTCTGAACCACACTTCTTGAGCAAATTGGCTTTGCATTTTCATGTATCTATTGCAGCCAAAAAGTCGCCATTCTAGTGAGCAGTCTATGTTGAAATCTTATATGAACTAACGGAACATGCACCGCAAATACGTCATGTGATGTTTTTAGCATGCGCCAGCTTCCCTCACTCCTGGGTCAAGCCGTGAGGAGGTAAGGTATCGCCCTGCTCAGTAACGGGTACATATTTACCCCTTTTTTGTGGTCAGTGGTAACAAAAATGATGAATCTGGGTGCACCGCCAAGGTAGGAATGCGGCCGCACTTAACCCTAAATTAAATGATGAATCCGGCCCCAGAGACGCGCACAGATGCACACGGACCCCAGGGAGTGTATCCAGCTCGACAACGCCAGACCGCACATCACAAGAACGAGAAGGCAGAGCTGGAAACCTACGGATGGACTATTCTACCACAGCCACCGTACTCTCCATTTTCTCGGATTACCACCTTTTCTCCCATTTTCAACGTCATTTGGACGGCTAAGACATCGACAACCGCGACAACATCAAGACGCACTACAGGTGTTCTTCGACGGCCTACCCGCAACTTTCTAGAGGAAGGGCATCCATGACCTACCGAAACGATGGCAGAAGATCATCGATTTCAATGGAGATTATTTCGAATAATTGCCTGTGCGCATTTTGAAACTATGCAATAAAAAATAATGCCCAAAATGGATCGAGACTTACGTATGAACCTAACACTTAATCTATGGCAGCGATGCGTCGTCTTTTAAGTCAAAATTGTTATGATTGTTATTTTTTTTTAGCTAGGGAAATATCTATTTTTATCCTTTCACAGTTTGGTACTAGACAGCAGTTGTGGATAGAAGATAGGTTTTTTGATGTGAAGGAAATGCAATGGCTGAGATACGGTTAAGTCTGTTTAGTTTATAGTTGCCTCAACTTCCCTTGATGGTGAACATCATAATAACCCTATCACATCTCATGCAGTGTTGTCGAAATTCTATACTTGGTATTTTACTTTCTGTGCCTTCTATTTCGGCCAGAAAGTTCGGTGTTCAAAATTGTAGCTGAAGAATCCAGTTCTCCACTGCTTTCGCATTTTGTATTTCTGTGACGTACAGCTTTGCTAGGTGGTTTTTGTTCGGTCTCAAAGGCCTAAACGATGCTTCTCTTCTTCAAGAGCTTAAAACGGTTCAAAATGTGACCTGCTAAATCAGACCATCAAATCTCTCCTCTCATAGTGCCAATTCTCTACTT